GAAGCTTCAGTAAGCTTAAGTCATTGAAGCTACCAAAACCAGTGTGGAGACCATGGTGATTGCGATATATGGGATCAAGGACTCAAATGAAGAATTCCGCCAAATTTTCCAACAGCGATGGGATGATGATCTGGGTGAACAAATTCGCAAATTCATGCTGTGGTTTGTACAAGGCTGGCGAGAAGCTGCCCCCTATTGGCCTCGCATTCCTCCACCATTCTGCTAGATTCTACCCCTCTTTTTTATGATGCCAAAGGGGAAGAAGTCGTAGATCTAATTGTAGCATTTTGGATCATTATTAGATGTATTTTGGATAGATCTAATTTTAGTATTTTGGATGGATGTTAGATGTTGTTTTGATGCCTCTATATTTTGCACAGTTAGTATGTCACAAAAAGAAGAATAGATGTATATGCATGCTTTAGTAAAAATGTATAAACACAAAACACTTTTTAGTTACACAAGTTGGGTAGTTGATGATTTGGGAAGTTAGATACATTGTAATAATCTTTCATATATGAATCTTGATGAAACATGTTGTTATTTGTACTTAAATGTTAGTTGTGATTGGTTGTTTGGAAACTTAGATACATTGTGATAATCTTTTATATATGAATCTTGATGAAACATGTTGTTATTTATACTTAAATGTTAGTTGTGATAGGTTGTGAATATTTTTATATACAGTATCAACAACATACACACTTGGAAACTTATGGAAATTGTTTTGTTAAAAAGAGCTTGTGATTTCATTCAATGAAAATAAAATGAAGAAATTGACTTTACTGGTGAATGTCTTAGAGCATATTGACAGGGGGAGCTTGCTCTATATCAAAATTGTTTTATCTATTAAAAATTTCTTGTCATATATATTTCTCATTGTGTTTTGAATTATTATTGTTCTAGCCATGAAGCCCTTTTTATAGGGGGAATTTTCGATCTCAATTTCCAAATCCTTCAAGATTACAAAACTCCTTGAAAAACACTTCTTAATTTCGAAACTCATACTTTGAAAATTTTTAATATATTTGTCATCATCAAAAAGGGGGGGGGGGGGTTGTTAGCCCTAAGGTTATTCAAATTTAAATTCTTATTGATTTTGATTATTGACAAATATTTTGAACTTATTTTATTCAAACTTTTCAAAATAATATTATACAATTGTGCTTCAATGTTTCTAAAAGATATATGCTTCTATAGTGTTGTTTTCCAAGGGTTTTTAGCCCCTTAAAACATGAAATTAGCACATGCATGCAAAACAATATTTATGCTTAAAATAGGTCCAAGGGTTGACACCAAGATAACAAGGGTCGACACTAGAGTAAAGCTCAAATTACCAAAGTGTTCCAGCTGCAAGGGTCGACACCAAGATAGCAAAGGTCGACATTAAATTTCAAAACATAATCCAGTAGCAAGGGTCAACACCAAGAACAACAAGGGTCGACATTAAATTTCAGAACACAATCAAGCAGAAAGGGTCGACACCAAGAATGATAAAGGTCAACACCAGGAACACTTGGAAATCAACTCAGAGAAGAAAAGAGAGCAAAGGGTCAAAACCCAATCTGTAGAGGTTCACACCCTTAAAATCTGGGTTTCAAAAATCGAATTGCTATATCAAATCTAAACTGACACAACACATTTCTCAGCCACTTTTTTTTTATCTATGTGCAAACTATGACATCATTTCTGATCCCTGAGCAGATCTTTTGATACTATATCTTCTACCAAGAGTTGACTTATGAGGTTTACTATTTAATGAAAGCTTGTATATTTAATGATCTTTCTCTTCCCAAGACTTGTCTATAGTCTGTATACACCATGCTCTGATCAACACAGCTAGAAGATATCCTCCATGATTTGCTCCAACGGCTAGAAGATTTGTCTCTGCCTCTCTCTAGTAGTTAGAAGCCATTAATGCTATAAAGAAGAAGCTCTCCTTGTTCGAAATACACAAATCTTCAACACAAGAACACTAGAGCATTCAAGAACTTTTAATGTATTTCCTTGTACTTCCATTTTCATATCTAAGTGAGTCTTAAATTCCCTTCGTGGTTACATTTTTCATATCCATCTTTTAAGAGCGAAAATTTGTAAAAGAGGACAATTGTACCTCTTATTCTTGTTCCTTATTTTCTGAGTGAAACACTTGTAAAGTGAGGCACTTAGTTGAGAGTTCCTAACAAATTGAAGTAAGTCCTTTGTAAAAATCCACAAGCTAGGTGAAGCTTGGTGGTGGATTGATTCATAGTGAAGAAATTCTCAATGAGGTATCTTGAGGAGTGGACGTAAGCCGATGAGTCAAACCACTATAAATCCTTGTGTTTGAGCTCTTCTTTCCTTGTCTTTTTATTTTCTGTGTATGAATTGATTATCTGCTGCACTTACTCACTTAGTCATTTGAAATCAATTTTCTAGTCATATTTTTTAATAACCCAATTCACCCCCCTCTTGGGTTGCCTTACTGTGTAACAAAGACAAATTATAGAGGCCTTCAGTCAAATAATGACATATCCCGATAATGGACTGGGTTAGTGAAGGTTATCGATGGTGTGGTGCATAGAAGAAATATGACATAAATGTTATATAGCTACTATGACTCACATTGGTGAACTGAAGTAATCACAGTATTATAGTTTCTAATATATCTGAACTTATTGGCTATTTTATAAATAAATAAATAAATTGTGATCACGTGTCAACGTTTTTAGTGTGAAATCCAGTGAGTCAAAATTTTTATAAAATGCATGTTTTTGAAAAAAAAAAAAAAAAAAACTTAGAGTTGCGTCATAATTGACTTAATGGGCCAAGTGGGAGAATGTTGGATTTATTTTCTGGTGTGACCCAATAGCCTACATATCTTTTACATGTTTTATTTTATTTGGACTCCTCAATTAGATAAAATCAATATTTGAGATAAAATTCAGTAATTAAAGTTTTAAATATGAGATAATTACTTTTCTAATATAAGAAGGAAACTTTGATAGACAGTAATTCTTTTAATAGAGTTTATATGGCCCTCTTCTCTCCTTTATATAAGGATGGGTGACTCCATTTCATAATTGTAGTATTTTTCCATCACTCAAAGTTTTATAGTCATCATAATTAAGAGAGACAGAGAGAAGAAGGTGAGCCAAAATTCAAGGTTTAACTATTAGGGGTATTTTTTCAATTTCTCTAATTCAATGGCTGATAAAGGTATGTTCGTTTTATTCTTGAGATATGTTGAATTTAAATTCTTGTTCCACATTATTATTATGATTCATGTATATTAATTATTTACATTTACGTCGGTTGAATATTAATGCTTATTTTTATTATGGTGATAGTACTGTAAGTGGGCTTTGGCCAACCTATTTCCCTTCGGAATATTAATGCTTATTTTTATTATAGTGTAGTGTAGTACTGTAAGACCCAATTTTGTTTTTGTTTTTTTGGTAACTTTTTGGTGTTGCAGGTGTCTGATTCCTTTCTTCGAAGACTCCAATGTTGTTTGATATTTGCCTAGGTGACTCAAGTTGGTCTAGGTGGGAGATTAGTCCTTTGTGGATGATCGTAGTACATTAGGTTGGTCGAATATTAATGCTTTGTTTTATTGTGGTGATAGTACTGTACGTGGGCTTTAACCAACCTATTTCCCTGAATATTAATACTTATTTTTATTATGCTGTAGTACTGCATGACCCAATTATTTATTTATATATATATATATTTTTTTTAATAATATAATTTATAATTATGATATATTTTTTTAATAATATAGAATTTATGATATAGTAGATATCAACTTCTAACTTACCACACATCCAATTGTGTAGGGCTTAGGGTCGGCTTTGACATTTCAGAGCCCAAAGTGGCCTTTGAAATGAGGCCTTTCTTACACATTTACATATATATATATATATATATACGTATGGCTTATAAAGAGTTTTCTTCATTGTCTCTGCAAATTCAATGAATGATTTGAGTATTTTTTTTATCAAACATTAGACAGCCTAGAAAAACTAGTGTGCTTTATTGGCAGTTGTACTTAGAAAAAAGGTTGTTCAAGTTGGATTGACTTAGTCTTGGGATATATAAGAAAATGCCAATATAACAAGGTTACGAGAAGATGAATCAACAATATTTCAATTTTTATTTTATTTTTTTGAATAAAAACCAATATTTTAATTTTTTTCTTTTTGTGAGGGAAGGGGAGTGGGTAGGATCTACAATCCCATCCCAGCCATTTTATGCATGTGAGAAATTATTTTTCTGGCTTATTACCAGTATTTTGAAGATATATATACCAATGTAGACCCAACGATAAATCTATCTGACTAAACAATACACCAAGTCATCCTAATTCCCTTAGGAATTGATTGTTTGTTTCATTATGTTCATCTTTTTCTAAATATGCCATATAACTTATATGAATCTAACTAGTAAAAATAATTCCTTATTACATCATTTCTAGAATTCAGACAATCTTAATAAGCTTTTGGAATATGTTACAACTAACAAATGCTATAAGATATAAATGTTGGATTCTTCACATTGGCAAAAGCCGTAGGACTCGATGTGCTTAAAATTACACACTAGAATCCTATCTAGATAAATAAATAAAAAGGAAAATAAGTTCAGGTTTATGGACAAGTTCAATCCAGCTAATGACATCAAGCACAATTCAATTTCCATAAGATCAAAATGGTTGCATTTAGATTGAACTCAGAGTTGATTTGGTCATAATCCAAGGCATTTTGATGGTAAGTACTAACTAACAAAAATACAATTCAAAAGCAAATTCTAGTTCGACAATCTATTCAAGCAAGGCAAGAACACACCCAAGAATGGCTATAATGACAAAGCTATACAACATATCAAGGGGCACTCATTGGCATGTGTTTCAAAGAGCTCTTAAAATAGGATATCAAAACAAATGTACGTCTTTATAGTAAGCATATGCAGGAAGGGTAATGTTAATTTCTTCTCGTGCGTTTGTGGTTGCATTATTATAGGGATTATAAAGAACCCATACCTGGAGCAACATAGCCTATAGTTCCCCTTATTGCAGTTGAATTGCTCTGATGTTGTACCACCTCATTTGAAATAGTGGAGATAATTTTGGCTAACCCAAAGTCTCCAACATGAGCGATCATCTCATCATCCAAAAGAACATTCCTCGGCTTTAGATCACCATGAATAATTGTTGAGTCACAATGACAGTGAAGATACTCAATTGCAGAAGCAACATCTGTGGCAATGTTTAGCCTTTGAATAAACTTTAGATTTCTAGATTCTTCTTCTTGTCCATTATTTTCGATTCCATCATGATGCAACCATTTCTCTAAGATTCCATTGGCCATAAACTCATACACCAAAGCCTTAAATTCATTACCTTGGAAATCCACACTAGAACAAGCACTCAAAATTTTCAAGAGATTTCTATGTCTTATGGTTCTTAGTGCTTTGCATTCTGACATAAAACTTTTAGAAGCTCCTCTACGTTGGAGATTGAGTACTTTCACAGCCACTTTTGTCTGAACTTGGTCAAGAATTCCTTTGTAAACAGAACCATAGTTCCCAACACCAATTAGCTTGTCCTCTGAGAATCCATCAGTAGCTTTCAAAAGCTCTACATAAGAAACCCGTAACAGATGGTGCTTGAGTGATGGCACCGAAAAGGCCTTCTTTCTTGAAACACGTCGCCAATGAAGGAATATGAATAAGCAAACCAACAAAATTGAACTTAACACAAGAACAACCACACTAGTGAGTATCACTTTTGTCTTGTGAGAGAGCTTATTCTTGTTAGACTTTGAGGATGGGTAGAGAGGAAGACGCGATTTTGGAATACCTCCACACAGATCATTATTACCAACCACCGAAATAGCACTTTCATTTTGAAACATTCCTTTCATTTGAACTCGCCCATGTAGCTTGTTAAAAGATAGATTCAACTTTTCTAAGTGGAGCTCACTTAGATAACTTGGGAACAACCCTGATAAATTGTTGCGTGAAAGGTCCAACTCTCGTCAACCCCTTAACTCTCTCAAACTTTGAGGTATCTCACCTTCAAATGAATTACCTTCCAAATGAAGCCATTCCAAGCTCAAACAATTTCTTAGAGAGTTCATAATATATCCTAATAATCTATTATTGGACACATCTCATATTGCAAGATTTTTCAAAGACCCAACTTCTAATGGAAGAGAACCAATCAACGCATTATAAGATAAGTCGAAGGAAATTGAAATGGAAGAGAGACTCATAATTTCGGGGGGTATTGAACCATGGAAATTATTATAAGCAAGATTTAATTCCAACAAGTTCTTACAGTTATCGAGACTCAAAGGTATGCTTCCATGGATTTTGTTTTGCACCGAGTAGAGATTATTTATCAAAGTTAAGTTACCTATTGAAGATGGTAGTTGTGTGAAATAGTTTATGCCTAAGTAAAGTCCGTGCAAATTATGAAGTTTCCCAATGGTGGTAGGAATAGGGCCACTAAGATGATTACCATATCAAAGATACCAAGATTGAGGAGGTTCCCAATACCTAATGGTGGGCTTCCATATATTTCATTGGCCTCCATTCTAATTATGCTAACCTCAGAATAGAGATTAGCTATGGACTCGGGCACCAGACCTCTTAGAAAATTGCCGCCAACGCTAAAGAGGTCAAAATGATGAGATTCTAACTAGATTGGACAACCAGACAAATCGAGAGATAGATCATTGGAGACCAGAGGAGATCAGGTTTGGTTAAGTGGCAGATCATATGAGATTAGGATTAGTCAAGGGCGATCAGGAGAATTGCACATGATAATCTCAAGATCAACAATGTCTAGGAAAGTTCTGTCAAAAAGACACTATTTAAGAAGACTAGTTCTTGAGTGGGACCGATTGTGACCCCACCAGTCTTTCCTGGGAACTTTCTTGGTTGTTGAGTTTAGGCGATCGAGAGATCTCGTTCAATTGGAAGGAGACCATTTCATCGGGAGACAAATGATTGGTAACCAATGCAGGCTCAAGGGAATGTTGTGGCAGTTAGAGTTACTGTCAAACATAATACAAGAAGTACTGGTAGAATGTGAATGTTGAAAGGCAACATCTGCAGTAGTGCACAGATAAGGCACAGGAGCACGTGGCTACAATGGCATAGATAAGTACGCAAGAGTGTAGTACAAGGTGCATACATACAGTAGTACAAAAGAGTAAGCAGCAGAGTCGTACAGAGGTGTAGTGTGCCGAATTTTGGCCTGGTAGCAGCAACTAGTTCACAGAAGAAAGCACTAGATAGAGAAATTGAAAGAGATAAGATGCTGCAATGCGCACTTAGAGAGAGGCAGATCTCTTTCTTTGTCCTGAATCCGGTTCGTGGCAATGAAGTCGTGAAGGGCACCTAGAGAGTTTGGGTATAGTCACCTCAACAGGGAAACAATGAGCATTTGTAGACACCCCATTTTTGAGCGACCTTAAGACTCAGACGTCACCGATTGAGTGCTTGGTGATGTTGCATATCGTGCTCGTTCAGGGATTTCAGAGTCTCGGCTGCGAGCCTTGCCTCCGGACTTCCGGACTCTTTCATGCTTTGCCTCAGTTTGCGAACCAGGCTCTGTTTTCTCTGTTTTCTCTTCCCGAGGGGAGGGAGAGGCCCCGAAGACTATCTCTCAGTGGCCGTAGGCTACGTTTCGTGGTCGTAGGCCATTTTGCCCATTTGGAGTCCAGTTTTTGGTTTTTCGGAGCCGTTGGTCGTGTGCCTCGGTTCGGGACCGCTTAACCACCTCCGTTTGCTCCGATTTTTGGCATGCATCTTATTTTCTCCCTTTTGAGGGACACTGTGGCTCGAGAGAACAACTTCGTGGTTGAACACTACTTTCGGTGCCTAACAGTCAGTTTTCGGGGCCTCGGCCTGTGTGTTTCGACCCCTGAACCTTCATTTTGCATCGGTTTGAGTTCATTTTTGGCAGGGACCTCAGTTTCATTGCTAGGAAGGTCATAGAAGGGTGGAAGGCTGGCAATTGTTCTGACAACCAGTTTTATTCCTCCATCGCCGTCCGTCACCCGTTTTTTCTCACTTGAAAGCCAATGTTGACCACCCTAAGGCCACTTTTTCTTGCCCCAAACCACATATTTGTGTTGTACACACCTGGGAGGCCACCAATATCATATGGCCGGCCAGTAGTTGTGTGTGACCCTTTTGAGCCCCTCCTAAAAGTGGGCTTTTCTCTCTCCTGGTTTACTTTCTCCAGTTTTCGACCACATGGTTGTGTTGTGCACACATGAGAGGCCACCAATCTGGGGTGGCCGGCCACTAATACTGCTTGACCCTTTTGACCCTTGGCCGACCGGCCATGGGGAAGGCCGACCGGCCACCTGCAACTCCAATAACAGGCTGGCCATGATCCCCTCCACTGGTACATTACAAATATGTATTTTGTTTTCCCCCAGATAGTGTATCCGGGGGGGTGCACTTTTGGGGGGAAACTTGAATCCATTTCCCCCCCCCCTTTTTTTCCCCTTTTTTTTCCACACTTTTGCCTATATATCAGGCCCTCCAGCTCCCATTTGAAAGGTTACAAAATTTGCTTTAAGGCTCTTGCATTATGTCTCTCTCTCTCTCTCTCTATTCCAAGCTCCAAAACCCCAAATTTCCTACACCACTTCTACACTACCTCATAGCACAAAGCCTCCATACTCCATTCCAGACCTTTGAAGCTGATTTCTAGAGGTGAAGAGCTTCTAAACTTGGTCCAAAAGTCGTTGAAGCTTGGTTCTACAAAGGTGAGTCCTATTTTCCTCTTTTCTTGCTTTATTTTGATCTATATTCTAGCCCCTTGTGCTCGCATATTTGGGCTCTGACCCTAACTGAAAATAGTCTTATTTTAAGCTCTATTTCATGTTTGATTAAGGGATTCTCCCTGTTTGAGGCTTCTTTTTTACACTTTGTGTTAAAAGCCTCTTTTAGGCCTCTTTCTTGCATAGTATTTTAGGCCTATTTGTAAACTGTTTCGAGCTTTGCTATAAACTGTGAGTTACCTTATTTTGAGCCCCTCTTCAACTTTGTTGATGGGCTCTTCACTTTTTGGGACTTCCTTCTATCACTTGCCTCTTTATCCCTCTTTTGGCCCCTTTGTTTGCATTTTTTTTTAGCTCCTTGTGCTTGTATTTTTGGGCTCCGACCCGAACTTTAAAGAGTCATATTTTGACCCTCTCTTCATATTTGATCAATGGTCCTTTGCTGTTTGAGGCTCCCTTTTTGCTCTTTGTGTTTAAACCTTCTTTCAGGCCTATTTTTGCATAGTGTTTTAAGCTTACTTGTGCACTGTTTTGGACTTGGTCATAAACTGCAAAGTGCATTATTTTGAGCCCCTATTCAACTTTGTTGAAGGGCTCTTCATTGTTTGGGGCCAGCTTCTGTCCCTTTGTGTTTAATCTCTATTTTAGGCCTTTTCTTGCATGATAGATTAGCCCTATTTGCATTCGTTTTTAGGACTTGTTATAAACTGGAAATATGCATGTTTTGGGACTGTCTTGCATCTTTCTTCATGCTTCATGATCAAATAATGCATGTTTTGTATAGCTATAGGCCAATGCGTATGCCTAGTTTTGTGTTTCGGGTGCCATGTTTCTATGTTTCGGGATCATTTTGCATCACATTTCAGTGCTGAAACTTGCATGTTTGCATACCATGTTCCATGCCCTGCCATGCCTTGTTAGAGTGGCATTTGTGCCTTAGGATCGGTCCTCGATTTGCGTGCATGTGTGAACGCATTTCGAGTGTCTCATTTTCATCTCATGGCTACTGATGTGAGTGTGGCTGTCGTCCACTCATGTTGGTGTAAGTCCATTGCGCATTGTGTATGCCATTTCATTTTATAGTATTGTGTATGCTAGGTTGTATGTTAGCGCATTGTGTATGCCATGTTACCTCGTGCATCGTGTATGCCATTTCATAGCATTGTGCATGCTAGGTTGTATATTAGTTGCATTCATGCATGTCATGCATATTGCATTGTGTTTGGGATAGGAGTTAGCCCGAGCATGGAAAACGAGGTACGTTTCGTACTCCGCGTGACGGAACGTATCTCAATTCCTGGTCGCCGGCACTCTGGATTATCCATGATGGAGTCTAGGCCCTGTTGTGTTTTCATGTGCATTCATTCCATATTGAGTCATGCAATTCGACTCCCCAGCCATCATGCATCGAGATGCGTGATTGGTGGCACGAGGATCGAGGACTACCACTCCTGAAGAGTAGTCATGCATACATATGTGAAAATACTTTGCCATGCCCCTTTGTTGCTCTCTGTTGCAGCAAATCAGAAATCGACAGCCTTCCGGAGCTTGGCACGCATTCCAAGAACAATTGCAAACAGAGGCAAACCGGGGCATCGCGAGGATTCTCCGCACAAGGCAACCCGAGCATGCATCATCACTCATCTGGAGCAGATTTGAGGCAGTCCTGGCTTGCATGCAATTTTATTGCTTCCTAATTTAATTTGTTAATTAATTAAGGTTTTGTAATTATTTGGACTGTAATTATTTATTCGGAGCTGTATTATTATTCGGACCTCCGAACGAGGGCACAACTGTAATAAGGTGCGTGTGTGATGTATGTCTTCCAACCCCACGTCTTTCTCCCTTTTAATACTCGCTTATGATGGTTAATTAGGGCATGTTCAATTAGCATACAGTATATAACATGTTTGCATTCATTCATCTGTCTTGCATGCACCGGGCTACGCATATACACTGCATTGAATTTCATTCCAAGTTGAATACATGTACTGTAGCATTTTCATGCCATGTTAGAATAGCCGAGCCTGCTATAGTTGCACTTTTGCATTGTTGCATTAGCATTTCTGTATATTAGGATCATGCAGGATTTCTAATTAGTTTCTATTTGGCTTGGAGTA